CCATGGGATACATGTGTGTCATATTGGTGATCACAGAAGCCAAGAATATTCTTATTAAATTCATTATTTGTTTCATTAAAACATGTTTAGCAGACAAGACTTACTAAAGTGAGCACATTAAAAACATTCTACATGTATAGGAAACAAAATATGACAAGGAAATGAGAAGTTGAACAGAAAATAGCACAAGACTGGTGACAAATGACAGTATCTTGTTTTCAGAAAAGTCGCAGTATATTTACAACTCTTTCTGTCCTACCATGTGTAATTACTTAAGTGATGAGAAAGCCAATCACAGGGTATTGAGCATCACTCACACAAACAGAGACATTAAGAAGAGACCTGCGTCAGTATATACAGTCGAGTCCACTTAAGTCGAACTCAGATAAGTCGAATTTCGGTTAAGTCGACATGACCAGCTTAGTCCCGGCAATTTTCTCTATTGTGTGTGCTGTCTGGATAAGTAGAAGTCCTGATAAGTGGAAGGATTTTCTTGGGTCCTTGCAACTTCTACTTATCCAGACTCGACTGTAGTAAGAAAATGTGAATAGTTTTTTTTCTTTGCAACAAGGTGTATGTATTTGACCTTAGTGAAAGCATTACATTTCTGATTGTGTTATTTTTCGTCTCAATGGATACTGCTGGCATGAACCAACATTAAAAATTTACTGACAGAGACAGCATAATAAAGGAATCACAAATTAAAAAATGAACAGTAATTACAAGCTGCTTCAATTTTTCTCTTTTTTCATACTCATTTAAACATAAGACTGTTGAAAAACTGTACACACTTACCAAGTCAGAACAAAATAAACAGTAAATACTATTTAAAGATATTTCAAGAACAACATTAGATACAACAAAAAAAGCCACATGGAATATTTTTTTTTAAACAAAAAAAGTGTCAGCTGTTGTTCTAAAGTCAGATAAGAAACAACAGATAGATTTCATTGAGGACAAGCATAAGCATAAATGACATAATAAAGTGAAATATAAAATGTTTTCTCTCAACTGAAGTATTTCATATCTAACACAAATGAAATAGTTCCTATTTCACAAAATTAAATTATTCAACACCTAACAAATGAATATTTCACATTCAGGCAAAGTATATATTTCACATTCACACAAATGACACGTCCCATCTGATACAAATAACAGTGATCTGCACAAACATTTGAATACAATGTGAAGTGGTCTTACTATGTATGGCTGTTTCAAGTACAATCATTTAAACTATTAACTATATTTATATTTTAGAAAGTACTATTAATTTTTTCTTTTTTTTTCAAGCTGGAATTTATATTTGTTGAATTATCACTCACTTAATTGATTGTTTCAATGAGCTGCCAGATAGGCCTGTCAGGAAAATTACTGAATGAACACAAGAAGGGTCTACTTTCATGCTTGAAAGTGTAATAGGCAAATGGTGCTTGACCACATCCTTTAAGGGCAACTGGTAAAGTCTGTGAGTCAAGTGATCAGCATCACACTGGCCAACTTTATTTCCCTGGTCATTTCCTGTAACGATTTGAGGCTAGATAGTTCTGGCATCCCAAGTAATTTATTACAATCCACCTTGATTGAGAATGGGCACTGCAATTAGTGGGCTAGCAGACAAGTAATTAGGAGCATCATGTGCACACATAGTTGGGAAAGCTTACAGTAAAAGGGTATGCATTACGGCATGGATTAGATTTTATGGATAACAGATGAACTTCTCACAACTGTTATTTAAAAAATGTGGCTGTACTGACAAAGGAATTCATGTTGACCTAACCACCCCCCCCCCCCCCCCAGTATATAAATATCACGGTGTAGTTGTGACAAAGAGATGGATTAACTGCGGCAATTTCTCTAATATAATGAATACCTCCTAAGTACTGTAAACATAGAACAATAAAAATTATTTTGTTGATATTTTAAATTGATTTCTTTCAAACTAAATAGAAGCAAAATGTATTGGAACAATCATTACTGTGTCAGAAGCTCTAATATGTATCATTACTCCACACAAGGTTCACACATTGCAAAGTTGTACTTTTTCTTATTCACTATTTCAAACCTTGAGGTTCACTGCTGTTTGCTGTAGACATCACCTGACTTCATTCATCCACTTGGTTAATTCAAGGATTTGTAAGTCTTTCTGAGGTGTATTATCTATCTTATGTCTTTTTAGTCTGTCTTGTGGTCTGCTTCCATTTAACTTTTTTATGTATACAGTTTCTCTGATGTCTGCTAATCTTTCTATTTGCCCCACCCCCTACCATGTTGTTTACCAGCCTTCAAAATGCCAGTAATTAATGGTGATTATGAAATTTGTTCTTGATTCTATCTCTCCCTTCTCTGTTCTTTGAATCTTTTACTGGTCCAGTGACTTATCTAGTCAGAGGTTGTACAGTTGTAACAAAACACTATTGTCTAAGAGGACCCAGGATCTAATCCCATTAAGGAGAAGCATTTATCGGAACACTTAATATAATGTTTTACTGCTTTATTCCTTTAGCTCCTTAAAACCCTCCTCGATGGTCTCTACAATAGTACAACCAAGTGCTGTGAGGAAGGTGTGCACAACATGATGATAGTTATTATAATCATTAAAAGTGAAAACAATGAGGCCCTACAAAACACAGTAAATAACTTTATGAACAAAACTCAACTTTAAGGCTGAGGTCAGAATGTTAGTAATCAGAAAAAGCACATGTGATTGCATGTGTACAAAACAAATTTTATTTTACTAAAGTGCTGTCCACTAAACACATCTGTTTGCACACTCTGCAAGCTCTATACTAAATTATATTAATGAAACACCATGACTAGATATTTTCAAGGAATATTTTATGTGTATCATCAATTTTCGTGATGTGAGAAATGTCATCAATTAAACAGAAAGCCGATGACCTGAATTAAACTCTGTTTACCCATGTGGGGGCAAAAAGAATAAACCCACTGCCCCCTTACAAGCATGTCATAAAGGTCAACTAAGTAAGGGTGCTTCTTCGACGTCAGAGAACATCTATCTGTGAGGGACCAGCAGACTGCATAGAGATTAGTCAGATCTGTAAAATGGTTTGAAGGTTTGAGTGCCGGTGCTTCCGAGCCTGTGCTGAGCCTTTTCAAACTCAGACTTACATGGACAAACAACCAGACCTTTCCACTGGAGTCTACAGTTGGTGAACACACAGAAGAAGACAATCTGCTTGAGACTACAAACATTAGAGAGACAGTATCATCACAGGCAGTAAATGCTGGATAAGTCAGCAGCGTGGCACAGCAGATTATGAGCAGTCAAACTTAAAAAGAACACAGAAGAAAGTTGACTGTGGAGTAGATTGAGTCAGCCATGCTGCCTGGCTGACACATGAAATTAATATATTAATGTAACAAAAGTGAAATTAATGTTTAGCCTTCTTTGATGTGAACAGAATCACATGTGTACTTTGAACATATTAAGGACTCTTTAACAGGTGGAAACTGGAGAGTGTGCTGTAATTTGCTGTTTCAGTTATTTGTTTTTAGGTTTTCTTTAACTTGCTTTAGAATGTGTGTGTGTGTGTGTTAGTAGCATCTCCTTTACATGACATTGCAGAACCAACCCCAGCATTTTTTTGCTGTTATGGTTTTTCTAGGCTAATTTATGTCCAGTAGTTTGCCATTTCTTTCTGATGTGTGTGTGTGTTGTATAAGATGAAAATACACTGTGACAATATACACCCATGCTGTACCCATCTTCCTGGTAGTACTGATGAGAGAGAGATTTCAAAATACAAATATTTTAGAATAAATGAATCAAGAACTGACATAACTGCACTCAAGGCATTCCCGCCCGTGCTCCGTCTCCTTCTTTAGTAACCAATGAAGAGTCGACATGCTAATAGTACCAGATGCAACCTGATTAGAAGTCCACCTGTGTTTCCCCCTTCAATGCTGAATATCTTCCAGAACCTCTATTCACCCCCTCCCCAATGTTAGTCTTGCAGTGTATGGATTCCCTATCTGTTCTTTTGTACTAGCCATCTGATTCCAGAAAGCTCACACTTTATGATATAGTAGTTCACAGCCCAGAGGGGTGGAGCAGCTAACCTATCAGCCTGCTCATTACCTCGCACACCTGAATGCCAGGAACAGAAAATGCATGACATGCTCTTCATCAGGGTCAAGTGATGCAGGACATCAGCTTCAATTTTCTGAAGCATGCTCTGTGAGTCTGTTGAAATCACAACATGTCCGCCTGTGCTGTTCTCAAGCCACCGGAAAACTCCCATTACGGCCTACACCTCCATTCTTATCTTTGCAATAAAAACCTCACCAACTCTTCTTACCTATCACCACAGACCAATCTGTATGCATATATTATGACGTCACCTGGGCGTGAATTTTCATCGATCAGCTCTTGCACCACTGACTCTATTCACCAACTATCCATTCCTGGCAACAACAGCAGAGTTGAGAAGGAAGTAATCAGCTTATAAAATAATGGATGCAGGATCTAGTGATCTGTGATAAAAGCAACATTTAGTAAAGGACTCTCTATCTGATAATGATGGCCTAACTTATGGCTTATTCTATTTATCAATCAGTAACTCATACAAATCCAACCCAAGTTTTTGAAATTCTAAAATAAATGACTTTATGAACCAATAGTGGAATATGTTTAATATATTTACACCTTCACAATAAGTTGCCAAATTTATAAAATAATTGAACAATTTCAAGATTCTGACCGACAGTGCATGCATATACCTTAAAAAACCAATACACCATTTACAAAAGTGAGAAATGACAGATGAACTTAGACATACACCTTTCAATGACAAATACAAACTAATCTGCCACAGCAGATGCACCCGCATTTGCTAGACAATATTTTCTTGTTGCTCATCTTCATTCAGACACCTCATCAAATGTTTACCTGGCTGATACTGATTACAGAGAACATACAATCTGCCACATCCCATAATATTCCCTCCCAAGACTGGAACTGGCAGGTGATGAGAGGTCTAGTCTTCCCCAACAGGAACTGCATCTTCTAATCTTTTGATGAATTTGAGTCTTATTTCTGTGACATTATCTCCCTTGAGAGTGTCCTGTACAAATTTAACATCAACATCCATTTGCACCTGTTGAAGAAAAACGGAAACAGTTTATGAAACACATTACAATACAAACATACTTCGAGTGTTGAAAAGTAATGCCTCCAAGGACCTAAGTGTCTTAACAATGCCGAGGCAAAATGACACATGTGAGAATATTGCATGGTTAACTGACTTTCAATACATAAATGGTGATGTATGTGGAAAGTAGCGCATGCGCACAACAGTATCCAAAATGGCAACAGATGTGGATTTCCAGCTGAAGTGACGGGCTTGTGTTCTATTTTTCAACACCATAGGTTGTATACAGATCGACATGCACCGAAAAATGAGAGCGGCATATGACGACACCTGTGTGAATGTTAGTACTGTAAGGATGTGGGCAAGGACTGTAAAAGGCAACAATCCAGCCTTGACAGACCCGCATGCTCAGACTCACAGTGGATGATAGATCACAGCTGTGGATGAACAACGCCAAGCTCGTGTCAATGAAATGATTTGTCACAGTCACAGCATCAAGCAAAATAAGTTGTCGCCATTATGCTTGGGATTTCGACTGAGCGAGTACATTACATCATTCATGTCACGCTAGGACACATGTACAAGATAGGTTCCTCACATGTTGATACTGGAAATCAAACAATGCCAACATCAGGTGTGTCAGGAACACAAGTCATGTGCACATCATTATGACCCTGAAAATAAGCAAAACTCTATGCATCAAAACCCCAACAACTCTCAAAGTTCAAAGCTACCGTGTCAGGAAGGGGGGGGGGGGGGGGGGCAGGTTTTGAGGACCACTTTCTGGAACTGCCAGGACGTAATCTGCATTGAATTTTTTTATGCACCGCAATGATGTCAGCTACGAAAACTATATGGAAATGTGACAAAAACTATGTGCAAGATTGCTGTGTGTTCACCCTGGCAAATATGCAGTTCTTCAACATGACATGAGTAGAAAAACAATGGTGCATCTCAACTTTGACAACAGGTTGGTGCATCCAGTACATAGTCGTAATCTGGCACCTTTTGACTTGTTCCTGTCCCCAAAGCTCAAGGAACATCTCAATGGAAATAGAAATAAGATGCTTCTGACAAGGATGTGGCAGTAGATTTGTATTCCTGGTCTCATTAAAAAAAAAATTGTCTGATTTTTAGTTTGACGTGATATGACAACTTGTTTGACACTGGCATGCGTGTGGAACATGGAGGTGACTACATTGAAAAATAATGACATCTTACTTGAACAAATTCCCAAGCTTTTCATAAAATGTATGTTTCTCATTTACATTATTATAGTAACAAAGTTATTTCCTTGGAGGCAATACCTTTCACACTGCCCTTGTATAAAACCAATAAACAATAAACTGCACACAATCTTTGAGTACTAAAAATGTAACTGGAATGGGTAAAATGATGGCTAAACATCTGCTGCAAGATTGTTCAACAGAACAGAGAAAATCCCCACTGGAAATAATCAACCTCTTGTTGGCTGTTTCTTTCATTAAATATTTTCATACCGATGTTTTAAAGTGTAAAAAAAAATTAGTTCTGAAGTGTCATAACTAAGTCGCCCCTTTCAATGATCATCCTCTGTTTTTGTTTATGACACATTACTGGATGTTCTTCTTCTTTACATTCACCAGCTGTAAACCCCAGCGGAAAGTTCTGGTTGTTCGTCCACTTCTGGAATCTAGTCCTGTTCCATAACCTGACTGTTGCATGCACATCCGTTTAACAGATCTGAATCATTTGTTTGCAGAATGTTGGTTTCTTGCCTCTCAGGCAGATGCACTCAGATTTTGAAGAAAGTTTCCAATTAGTCAACTCTTATAACATGATTTTTAATCTATGACTCTATTTCCCACAATGGGATCCCAGCACCCAAATGGGAGATTAAATGTTCAGGTCTAAAAACTTCATCTAGTCCACTCCACCATCCATCAAGTCAAAGTTAGTCAGTGAAGTGAATTAAATTAATTTACTGAAAATACACTGGAAAAATACTACTTACATCTGTGGACACCCGCAGTAGCTTCAACAACAGATGCTACAATGAAGTTCAACATTAATTAAGGACAGGGGATTGATCAAACACATGCTTGAGCTACACAAGAACCTTGGACTTATTCACGTGAAATAGGAATAATAGTATGTGCTTAAGACGACAATTATTACCATTTCTAGTGCTCCTCTTAGCACACCACACAAAATGGCTGAGTAGTTGAGATTCGCATGACCAGGAGGAAGCTCTACAAATTCTGTTAGAGGATTGGATTCTAACAACAGTGAAAATTCATCTCCTGCAGCACTCCAATTACTCACAACAGGAGTAAGACCTAGGTACATCTTGAATGCAACCTGCACTTAGAGAAACAAATGTCACAAACTTCATCATAATAAACCATTTGATATCATAAAACAATAACTACATGGATATTTCAAAGACCTTAAAGCAAGATTTCATGGTTTAGGTTTGTCACCATAAACAAAAATGTATAACTTTATAACTGTGTGTGTCCAGGTAACTGAACCAAATTTTATAGGGCTGGTAACATAATTACACTTTCTCAATTCTAAAGCTTTTCATCAAGTCTGAAACAAAAGAGTTGCAGTGATTTTTCATTCAGGTCTAAGGTCTATCTATTCCTGGTCTCATGAAAATGGCACCGTTACCATTTCATTATTTTTGATTTTTTTTTTAGAATTTCTGGATCTAAATATTGTGACTATAACATAAGCTTTTATAACTGCTGTTTTTTAAATTCATATTTTACTGAGTCATAACAATTTTGTTAACAAACAAAATGCACCTATTCCAAATGTAAATTACTGGTAAACAATGATATAATAGCATGCTTAGTTATTCTACCCTTTACACACACATGCAAAAACTATAACAGTGTACCATCAGTGTAAGGTAATTTGTGGAGATACAACAGTGACTGTTGACACACAAAAAAAACAGAAGGGCAACAGAATAACATAAAATCTGACCAGATCAAAAAATCAAAGATGTTTGATGTACAAATAATATGACAGAGACTTAAAGTGAATACAGTCTTTACTCCATTTGCTGTTTGACAGAATATTATTTTATTTATAATGGCTGAAACCACACAAATGATAATATGATTAGCCATTTTCTTACCAAATAGCAAGATTCATTCCTGGTTGATGATACTTAATATGTGATTTAAGTGTCATTCCTCACAATAAAACACTTGAGCTAATCCCGTGCAGGCAGTGATTTTCAATCTTCACTCTCTCCAGCCAATTATTACTATTAGGTCCTTCAAACTGTAAGCTTCTTCTTTGTTTACTGGCTGTGAGCTCAACGAAAAGTCCTAGTGATTCGTCAATTTGGACTTTGGCTTTGTACCAGGGCCTGAGTTTTACTGGCTTATTAGTGTGCAGCTGATTGTTCCTTGCGCTCAGGCAGATGCACTCTGACTTCGAAGGAAGCTCCCAATTAGTCGACTCGTACAACATGCTTTCTTGGGTAGGCAGTGGGTCTATTCTTGTTTACCCCACAATGGGGAAAACTGTAAGCAAAGATAAAACAATCAGTTACATCTCAAACATAAATGTGACATTAAGGTACTACTGCTGTTTCAAACTAATTTTCTATTAAGAATATCTATTTGATATTAAGCAACATGACAATGATACAAACCTTAGCAATAACATCTGCCGCCTCTCTGAAATCATGACATCGTCCTGTATTGGCTCTGGCCAGGAAGTCTTCAATTATACGAACACCCATGTTATAACCCCTGTGTGAACAAAAGCCCCACATGTTTATTTTATAATAGAACACTGTAGAATACTAAGTTGAAACATTTGAACATCAAGATACATTATAGAGAATAAATATGTTAAATAAACTATGTAAGGCCTCTATTCCCTCCTACCCACCAAAGGTTAATACCCTGTGGATTTGAAAGTCTATAACCATCGCTGTACATTATGTTTCAATGTTACATTATGTTTAATCCAAAATCCACAAACAGCAGTTGGAAAAAAAAAAGTAAAGGACCCTTTTCCACACCTTTAGGCGTATAGGGCACATAGGGCTAGACCTATATTTTACAGACAAATCAACACAAGATGGATGATGTGGCCAGCATCACGCCGGCTGCCTTTACTTCCCATAACGGCACCTGGTACCCCCCTCAAGGCTGTGTCGTCCTGGGAGCCAAAGTCATTTTTTTTAAAAGTGCGGCTCCGCCAGGGAGCGAACTTACGACTTTCCGATTTGCGGAGAGTGCCTAGCCTCTCAAACAGCAATATAGTCAAATAACACATATAATATTTATGCCCTCTTTGATTTCTTGAATTTGCTAAAATTCGAAATAAATTCCTTCTGCAGTCTAAATACTCATAAGAGAAATCATCATCATCAGGTGCCTTGCCGACTGGCGTGGGCGATCATGCCTCTCCATAATCCACGATCTCCTGCAGCATGTATCAGTTCGTGTGCCGACACACCTCCATGCCATGCAACAAGACTGTCAAGCATCTTCTCTCGTTGTCTTCCTCTATATCTCTCCTTCCACATATCTTTCCAGTGGTCACAACATGTTCTATTTTCCCTCTTCTCATAACATGGCCAAAAAATGATGACTGTCTCTTCTGATGTCTGTGATAAGTTCTCTTCGGGCTCCCGCCTCTTTCAAAACCTCTTGGTTGCTCTTTTTTGGCTGTCCAAGGTATTCTAAGCATTCTTCTGTAAAACCACCTCTCCGAGGCCTCCAGAAATTGTTTGCCCTGCCTACCGATTGTCCTGGATTCACAGCCATATGTTAAAACTGGATGTATGTAGCAAGCAAGAATTCTTTTTCTAACTCTCAATGACAAGGATATATTGCACAAGATGTTTTTCATTTTATAAAATGCAGTTTTTGCCTGTCCTATTCTATTTCTTATCTCAGTTATGCATCTTCCGTCTGATGTTATCCATGTGCCCAGATACTTAAATTTCTGTACTTGTCCTAAAATAACACCATCAACTTTTATTACACACTTAGGAATAATTTGTTTCTTATAAGAGAAATAGGACTGGAAAAACCTTATAATGTCGAAAGCTCTCATGAATACAAATATTTTAAGTCTTACATTCGGTCTAGCTGTTTATTGACTTGTTCATCATTTTCGTAATCTTTCATTAGCTGTGCTACAAGAGCTCCATAGGTCAAGGTGAATAACTCTCCATTCTGAAAATAAAAATAGCCATTAATGTAGGGAATGATAGCGGTCACTGCAGCATCAGAAGTTTAATGAATGATTCATGACAACTCCTGTCTAGGTGATGTTATTATCTGTACAGATGATTCTGTATTGAGAAACAGAAGAAGTGAATAGGAGTTTATATCAAAAATGTGAATGGACATCAATTAGTGCAACAACGTCTGGCATATGATAACATCTAGTTTCAGAATAGAGACTGAGGTGGTGACTTTACCCTTCTGCTCACTTGAGAACCAGATGTTTTGTTTATTGTTTACTCAACGGATCAACATCATGGCACATGGGTATAACCTATAAGTGCTCCGTTCTACTTCCAACTCAAGCCTGAGTCTGAAGAAGCTCAGTGCAGTGCACAAACTTCATTGCACCGGCAAGGATCCTGAAATACTTTTAAGTAGATTTTTAGTTCAAAATTTTGCACGGGCAGCGCCGTTAGGCTACTCTTTTCAATTTGCAACTCCAAGGGATTTTTTACATTTGCAACGATTTAAAAAAATCTCAGCCTTCACCGGGGCTTGAACCCAGGACCTCTAGTACTCGAGGCGGACACCATACCTCGAGACAACTCAGCCTGAACCCACCCCCTCCAGAGGTACACACATGTCGTGATTGTAACTAACTCACAAGAGCATGTTGAGAAAGGTACAGACAGGTATTCTCTGTGCAAAGTAGTAAGCATTACTTCAGAGGTACCGAGTAGTTAGTGTTTTTTATATTTTCATCAGGCAATGCCAGTGTGTTGGGAAATAGAGAGGCAGAAAGACTGGCCGTCCTCCTCCAATATTTATTTACATTACTGTCTAAATAAGTCTTGATTTGAGGGCTCACCAAGGAAGATTGGATTATTGTTTTCCTGGTTTATTCGCATTATCACTTTCTCTTACGAATTTTAGATAATTGTTGCAATCTCTCATGAAGTATGAAGTATAGAGAGGAATGGGAAATGGGGGTGAGGTGGGGTGAAGATATAAATGATTGACACCTTTCCGTCTTTCCAGATGACAGTGTTATACTGTGCTATGGGGAGGCATAGGACTCACAGCCCATGGTGATGGCGGGTGTGACTAGAAGACCAGCCCGTGTTAAGAAAAGTCTTCCACAATTATAATTATATATAGGATTATGGGATTTTAGGACCACTGTTTTGTCAAAGTTTGTTTCTTCTCAGACACTCAGCTCTCATCCTTTCTTCATTCTTATTTCCTTCAGGCTGTGCCCCCTCCACATAAGACTGTCCGCGGCATTTTCTTCCCACGAGTCCCCTCAATACCTGTATCATAATCTTTATATTGTAGTAGCTGTAGAGGTCGGACACACAAAAACTACAACAAAATTTGTTCAACTTAATGTAATGAAGGAAGTGATTTGTTTTCGTCTCGTTTAGCTTGGAAAAAAGAAATCACACTGTAAAATATATCATTACAGATAGAGAAATGAGACACTAAAAAATTATTTTTATTTATAAATAAAAATAACTAATTTATTCATTATTCTTTCCTGAGTGGGTTCCGGGGCCCCATTAAGGGGAAAACAAGAATAGACCCACTGTCTACCCAGAAGCATGTCATAAGAGTTGACTAACTGGGGAGCTTCCTTTGAAGTTGGAGTGCATCTGCCTGAGAGGCAAGGAACCATTTATTTACCAACAGTCTGCATTCAAGTGATCAAATCTTTAAAACTGATGCACACGCAACACTCAGGTTCTGGAGCAGGACTGCAGTTCAGAAGTGGACGAACAACCAGAACTTTCTGCCAGAGTGCACAGCTGGTGAACGCAAAGAAGAAGAGAAGATTAATTATTATTAATTTAATTCCATGCAAGCACTGCACTGGCAGCAATTTATTTAATTTGCTGACGTTTGTTACTTTGTACAACTAAGACAATTACCACTTTCCGTGGATCACCAGCTCTATTGCTCTGTCTTGACATGTCTTAGGATAGAAAACTGTCGTTACTGGTAGTATAAATAATCTTGACAGCGGATCTCAACTTGGATACTACTGATGTGGTCTGTGAACTTGCACTGCAGCACAGCCACAGAGCCACCCCATCAAAGCGGAAGTAAACAACATCGACAGCTCCTCACATACAACACACTCGCTGATTAGCGGGATCGGGAGGGAGCATCCAATCAAAACTAGTATGACAACTGTGACTACAGACAGACGGTGCCATTGCACATGTTTGGCCAGCCACGATGGTTTTCTGTTGATATAAAACATATTAGTTAGTACTCAGATCCAGGGTTCTCTTAACTTAACAGATAGTCACATACACAGACAAGGAATGACGGATTATAAAGAGGAACAAAGAAATGAAATCGAAGCATTACAGTCCATATACCCTGATGAAATCGAAAGTAAGTAAAAAAAAAGTACTCTACTCAACTATAAACTCACTATAATATTAATAGTGAGTCAAGAATTGACATCACAGCGCTCGACCCGTGCATGCTCCATCCTTATCATCTTCAGCAGCCAGCGCAGAGTTCCAGTACTGATGGTACTGGTCAAAATCTAGTTATATGTCCATCTTGCCTTTCGTCTGAGTGCAGTGAACCGGCTAGGACCTATCCTACAAAAAAAAAACGGTCCACAAATTATGGAGGCCTAAAATATACCCTGACAGTAACAGGGCCTCAGTCACATGTAAATTGCAAACCTCTTCCGGCGACTACACAGCATACTACAAAAAAAGCTTCCGCCAAGTCTCCTGCGCGGTGTGGAGCGGGGGCTAAACAAGATGACTGGGACTCACGAGCAGTAGTAGCTACCACTTCTTATGCAGCTTTCTCCATTTTATTTGCTCGTGAGTCCCAGCCAACTAGTTTAGCCCCGCTGCAGTATGCTGTGTAGTCGCTGGAAGAGGTCCACAATTTACATCAGTCACTGAGGCCCTGTTAAGATATATTTTCGGCCTCAATAATTTAAGACTGTTATTCAGAGGATAGCCAGCCAGCCAGACCTCTGGTTTCACAGCCTCATTCCCTTTAGGCCATAATAATCTTGTTTCTCTACTGATTCTGTTGCTTGTTCCCAAAGGGCTTGACCATATCTGCCTTTTCATGTATCAATTCACCACCCAGTGGTGTAGATCCAGTCAGTCTGCCTGTTCATTACCCATTATGCCGGCATAGCCTGAAGAAAAGATCCAAGGTATGCTCACAACCTGTGACCTTTCCAGTGAAGCTTGCCACTCTGCTCAAGCATGTCTGTCTTCACCTTTCTCAGCATGCCTACAGCACCTGTTACAATAACGACATGTATATGCATCTTGTTCTCTAGTCACTGGAGAGCTGCAGCTACCGCCTCCACCTCTATTCTCATGCTTGATGTTGTGTATAGTATGAGTATACTAGACTATCATCACTATGACTGTTTTTTTAAATACTTACTGTCTTACGCTATTTTCTCTTGTAATAAACTTAAAAACTGTATGAGCTTATACATTTATTTGTGATCTCTAATCTGACAGTCCTATTCACCTCCTTGACTTCCATATCTATGAATTTTCTTGACTTCACTCCTCAGTTTACAGTTTAGCACTGAGTCGACTTCCTGCCAACTCCTAGTTGTAAAGTACCCTCGACCTTCTTGCTTGGCCTGGTTTCTGTGTCGTTTCTATGGGTTGTTTTCTTCCTCTCTGCCTGTGTCGATGTCTTGGTGTCTGTGTCAATGTCTTGTGTTAATGTCTTGGTGTCAATGTCTTGGTGTCTATGTCTATGTCTTGGTGTCTGTGTCAATGTCTTGGTGTCTGTGTCAATGTCTTGGTGTCAGTGTCGATGTTTTGGTGTCTGTGTCAATGTCTTGGTGTCTGTGTCAATGTCTTGGTGTCTGTGTTAATGTCTTGGTGTCAATGTCTTGGTGTCTGTGTCAATGTCTTGGTGTCTGTGTCAATGTCTTGGTGTCTGTGTCAATGTCTTGGTGTCTGTGTCAATGTCTTGGTGTCTGTGTCAATGTCTTGGTGTCTGTGTCAATGTCTTGGTGTCTATGTCAATGTCTTGGTGTCAAGTGTCGATGTCTTGGTGTCTGTGTCAATGTCTTGGTGTCTGTGTCAATGTCTTGGTGTCAAGTGTCAATGTCTTGGTGTCTGTGTCAATGTCTTGGTGTCTGTGTCAATGTCTTGGTGTCTGTGTCAATGTCTTGGTGTCTGTGTCAATGTCTTGGTGTCTGTGTCAATGTCTTGGTGTCTGTGTCAATGTCTTGGTGTCAAGTGTCAATGTCTTGGTGTCTGTGTCAATGTCTTGGTGTCTGTGTCAATGTCTTGGTGTCTGTGTCAATGTCTTGGTGTCAAGTGTCAATGTCTTGGTGTCAGTGTCAATGTCTTGGTGTCAGTGTCGATGTCTTGGTGTCTATGTCTATGTCTTGGTGTCAAGTGTCGATGTCTTGGTGTCTATGTCTTGGTGTCAAGTGTCGATGTCTTGGTGTCTATGTCAATGTCTTGGTGTCAGTGTCAATGTCTTGGTGTCTATGTCAATGTCTTGTGTTAATGTCTTGGTGTCAATGTCTTGGTGTCAATGTCTTGGTGTCTATGTCTATGTCTTGGTGTCTGTGTCAATGTTTTGGTATTCTTTGAGACTTGCTATGGTTTGCTGGAGCTGGTTCTACTTCCTGAGCTGCAGGTTCTCTTCAGTTTTTTCATGGAGTTTTCGGCTCTTCTTGCAACTACGGCCACATATTGGGGGAGTACGCCGGAGTTCTGTCCCCTGGCCGCATTGCAATTACGGAGTGGAAAAGAGGGAACAAAACAAATGACGTAATTAGTGTGTGTTGGTGATAGACAGCGTGCAGTGCACTGCTGTCATCATAGGGTTAGGGTTAGGGTTGGGTGATGTTCCTTATAACTATGCTCAGCTAGCCACCGCAACCACACAGGCTTATCGCTCATTACGGCATATAGATCCGCAGGTGTCACATCCACGGCCACTAAGTCTTGCGTCGCAAGAACGCGGTCGCTAATTTGAGTCGCAGCGCGTGGTCTACCAGCCATGTCGACCTCACTTTGTTGTGTGAGTCGTTCCTTCTCCATTCCGTAATTGCAATGCGGCCAGGGGACTGAACTCCGGCGTACTCCCCCAATATGTGGCCGTAGTTGCAAGGAGAACCGAGTTTTCTTTCTTCTCGTGTGATTGGAGGAGGACCTTCAGCTCTTTTATGTCTTTGTTTAAATTTTGTTTGTGTGCCTTGGTCCCTTTTCTGCTGTGCCTTGTGCTGTTTCGTTTCTTCAGTTCAGGTGACTTTGTCGGCCCTGCTAGTGCTTGTTTTGGCTTTTGCTGAGTTTCGTTCTTCTTGGAATCTTTTTCTTGTTTTGCTGCACATATAGCAGCTTTTGCAACTGTTTTTACTTCTACTAGTAAGGCAGCTTTACGGTAGGTGCTCTCACAAGTTCTGCCATCTCCTTCATTCGCTCCTCCCTTTCTTCTTGATGGTGCATTTGTTTTTCTACCTGAGTTGCTTTCAGACTTGAGATTTAATCTTTGATGCTTTGTCGTGTTGCTATGGCTTCTTTCTGCCTGACTGTTGACTTGTTGCGTAACTTGTGCTAGCCTGTCATCTTTCAGGGATTCAGTTTCCTCTAATATTAGAGAGATCAGGTCTAACGTTTTGATTCTTTCAGTGGTGGCCGCGACTTTCTCCTTCCGGAGTGCTCGGATTTAGGTTCTTAGTTCTGAGTTTACTTGTGAGTTCTGTGTTTTTGGTGGCGGCGTTCACCTTGTCAGATGTTCTGTCTTTTGTTGGCAGAGCAGGCTGGCTTCTCAGCTGACTTTATTCATGTGGCCTGGGGCATCTCTTATCTCTTTCTGGCTTCTTCATATGGAATGTTCTCAGTGATGTCTGGTGAGTGCCTTCTTGCACTGTTTGATATACGGACAGCCTAAGTTTCATCTGCCGTGTGCACCAGAACAGTTGGTGCACTTATGGTTGTGGTTTAGCTTTTTAAAATCAGTGTCAGTTTTTGCCACTGGGCATTCCAATGAAGTCGTGAGGCTGGGAACAGTATCGGCACGAGAGACTGCTGCAGCAGGTCAAGGCTGTGTGTCACGCCTTCTGACATCTTGAGCACTGGAGGAGTTCTGGAATGTAGATTTAAAGCTGCTGCAGCTTGTGATTGAAGTAGACACTGGCAGGTAGGCTGTCACCGGTCGTGGTGATCACTGCAGCAGATGTGTTGCTTTCATTCGTCCCGCTTTGGTGATTTCCAGGCACGGGTTTTCGCTCTGTGCCCGTGCCTGGATCTCGCTGTCTGTGAACCTGGGATGCACAGGTTTGAGCACCCATTGCCTCACAATCCCTTATAGACTGGTAGCGACAGTGATATCGTGAGAGAGCCACTGCTCTGAAGCGACCCCTTCCTGTATATCGCTCACCAGTTTTCGGGTTTGTTGTGTTTAGGACAGTGTGGCAATCGCGCAATCCTTCATTTTTCAAAAGCGCGAAACAGTGCGCTTGCCTAGCAGGGTCTCCAGTAGTGAGACTATCACCAGTGTGTGGTTTGGCTGGTCAGTAGTGTTCAAGGTAGACTGTTCTACACAGCAGGCTGCATTTCTGAGGTCGTCAGGCTTTGGCAGTCAGGCTAGGACATGTGGGTACATCGTTCGGCTGAACCATATTTTCACTAGCAGGGGATTCTACCACTGCTAGCTAGGCATCGGAATCAGTCAAAAGTGACGATTGATTGACTCTGCCTGACTCGCAGGGGCAAGACAGTATGTTGGCTTTCTTCAGGCCTGCGCAGGCAGTCTGACGTCTATTGGTTTTGCTTGACTGTGTCTTGTTCTATAGTGATTTTAGGCTATCAAAAATATGGCTATTCGAGACATGAGGCAAGCGAGAGCTGACAGATCAAGCAGTTAAATGCGAGCAATCTATGTCAGATTTCTCACAGGCTGTCGATAATCAGGTGACTGGACAAGTGGGCTGTGCATGCGTCTTGACTGTTTGCGAGCTGCGGTGTGTATGAACGACTGATTTCCTGTATGTAGGACCTTTAACTATGTGCCAAGAAGGCAAATATGATTTTCTTCTATGCTGCCACTCCAAAAACATACCCTTCAACAGGTTGTTAGCAAAGTACTACTGCCCATCGGCCAATGATTGGGCCAGTCAACCAAGTCCAGTCACTTTGGATAGACCAAACTTGATTCTAACCTTTTATCTATCCAGTTCGATAGCTTAAAAAAATCGCCCATCATTACCTGAAGTTTAGGCTAAACAGTACATTTTATACATCCTCAGCTGGATCTGTGCACTTAAAGCCAAGTGATCTGCAATGAATAATGGGTTTTACACCCCAAAGTGGTCAACAAATGAGACCATAACCTGAAAGAAGTACATATTTTTTATAAGCAGACTACCGCCAATTCACACAGCATTTTGACTGAGTGCTTCAAAGTGCTCCCACACTAGATGCAAAGTATATTAATTTGTGATCCAAACCTCCTCACTTGATTCAAGAACCGACATCACAGCACTCTGGGATATCCCATAAGCACTCCATCTCCATCTTCAGCAGCCAACGAAGAGTTCAGATACTAATAAAGCCAGTAGCCTTCTGATTAAACATCTGTCTTGCCTTTCCTCTGAGCCTCGAGCATCTGCCAGAACCTCTTGTCACTCCCCCCTGCATCAATCTCACCAGACTGTGGTGATCCATCTGCTTCTCCGAACTGCACACGCTCTCCCACAAGGCACTAACCATGTCTGCCTTATCATGCATCAGTATTCCATCAGGTTGTGCAGAGCCAGTCAGTCTGTCCGCCTGTTCATTCCCCAGCACACCGGCGTGCCATGGACTGACCTCCTTCTCCTTCAGTGCAGTCATCAAGATGTCGTATCTCACTCTGTTACAAGCATCCTCAAGATCCAGGGCTACCACCATAGTTTCCTGTCTATTCTGGAACCCTTCATAGACGTCAAAAGCAAAAGTGGGCGCATTTGCCCATGTGTCCTTTCCTGGCCTGTAGCTTCCCAGACCTCTTGGGAGAAGCTTCCCTCTTTCCAAAAATTCTTGCAGCTTTACAGCAACTATCTTCTCCAAGACCTTCCCAAATATGTTTTGTAAGGTGATGATTCTGAAGCCACTGAGCTTTGAATGATCCTTAAAAGGTTTTCCTCACTCTGTTTCTTGAAAGGTTTTTTAAAGATCAGCGAAGCATTTACTTGCCATCATTGCACACTTACACACAGAGTGCAGAAAGTCATAAAGTCTTCTTCTTCTTCTTCGATCCTTCTATCAGAAAACTTATATCAGGAGGCCGGTAGAATTTATGAAAGCTATCGTGCAATCGTGCAATCCATACAATCTTGTGTACCATTCAGTTTTGTCTTCATTGTGGTTGGAACAGGCCAGATTGTTTCTCTGTTGTCAGCATACAGGTGAAGGTGTTGGAGAACATGCTCAGCATTTTCGGGTGCCACGCTGCAGGGACACGGCTCCGTATTTCCTACACCGAAAAATTTGAACATATGTTGACGAAATCTGCTGTGCCCAGTCCTTAGTCTGAATATAATACACTGTTCCTCTCTAGAGAGGCAATGAAGTGAGTGTTGGGGAGAAAATCTGGTGTGGGTATCCAGCCACCTTTCTTGGATACTAGATTGTATTAATGTTTTCATCTCTTGGTGGCTTAAGTCGCTATTTGGTTGTACCATGTCACTGCCGCTTCTGGCCAATCTGTCCGCTATTTCATTGCCTTCCAAGCCACAGTGACCTGGAATCCACTGCAGTACAGATTGTTCTACTGAAGAGCCTAAGTAAATCAGCTGTTGCGTCAAGTCTACAAACTGACATAGCATCAGTCAGAAAGACCACTCTGCTATATTTGCTGTGCTGTTGTTTATTCAGGAAAGAACATGCCGTCAGAAGTGCTTCTGCCTCTGCTCTGTAATTGGAGGAATATGAACCTGTTGGTACAGCCTGGTTGATTTTTAAACCATTTGGGCATTCTATGTAAATTCCTCCTCCTCCGTCTCTTACTGCTCTCTTGGCTGAACCATCTGTATACACTCGAATCCAACTCTGGTGTGGGTAAAGTCTATTGATCTCTCCTTCTGTAGTTGATTTCATATCAGTGCTGCTCATTGATGATTTGGAGGAGATCCCTGTTACAGTCGTTCTGACTGTTGGCAGGCTATCCCTGAGCCAAGGGGGGCAGTCGTTGTAAGGTTTCAATGAAACATTTGGTATTATGGGAGGGAGTTTAAGGACAGTGAGCTTGGCATTTGTGTTCTTAATGAAACAGGTTCTCTTTAGTCTAGCCTTCTGGGGTTTCTACAGTGGGCTATGCATGGGTTGTTCTTTAAAGTAATGGTAATTGGAGAGCTGAGTGAGGAGCTTTGTGTCTCTCCTATCTTCTAGATCGTGGAGATCAGTAATTGTTTCCATGTCTAATATGGGCATGGAGCGCATAGACCCTGTCATAATACGGAGAGCATGGTTTTGGAAAATTTGATTTAGCTGCTGTGCCCCAAGCAGCTATTCCATATTCTAGTGTTGGCCTCACATAGCCTGTATAGGTCCTCTTAAGGACATTGAGGTTTGCCCCCCAGTCTGTTCCAGCTAACTTACTCATCAATTGGGTTCTCTTGAGTCCCTTGCTCTGTGTCTTTTCTATCTGTTTTCTCCATGTCAAAGGTTACTCCTAAATATGATGGTGAGTCATCATGTATCAGTGCCTGGCTGCCATATCTAAGTAAAACTTTCTGGGGTTTGGTAGAAAGACTGAAAATGGTGTGTGTGGTTTTGGCCCCATATTTACAGGCATGTACCAGCTATTGGACCACCTCTCTAGAGTTCCGAGGGATTCTTGAAGCCTTGTCTGTGCTTTTCCAGTGTCCTCCTCTGAACTCAGTAGCGCCAGATCATCAGCATACATAACGGCTTGAACTCCATTACAGAGGGTTGATTTTATGTCGTTAATGTAAACTAGGAAAAGAATTGGGGACAGAACTTCGACTTGTGGAACTCCATGTTTCATTGTGACTGATCTGCTTCTTGAACTCTGTATCTTGACTCTTGCAGATCGATTTTCAAGATATTTTACGATCCACCCAAGCATGTGATGGGATATTCCACTTTCAAGTAGCTTTTGTTTCAGCCCATTTTTCTACACTTTGTCGAAGGCCTTTTCCATATCCACCTAGACTGCAATAGTGTGCTTTTTTTCCTGGAATGCATCTTCAATGTGTTGAGCAATGTAATTTGGTCTTCTGTTGATCTACAATGTCAAAAACCTGCCTGTTCCTCCATTAGTAAAGTTTTTCTCTAGGAACCAGGTCAGTCGGTTGTTCAATAATCTTTCAAATAGTTTGCACAGACAGCTAGTGAGGCTGATGGGTCTGTAGCTGTCTGCGTTGTTCTTCGGCTTTCCTTGTTTCAGGATTACGAAGATTTCAGACTTCCTCCAGGCTGGAGGAACTATACTAAAAATCCAACTAGCATTAAAGATGTTTAATAATTTCTTTTTGGCACATGGACCCAAGTGTAGTAACATATCATTCGTGATTTTATCGGGGCCAGGAGCTTGGTTGGATTTCAGCTGGTTGAGTCCTGTGTTAAGTTCACTCATTGAGAATTTATCTGTCATGATGCTCTTTACTGGTTTACTCTTGCTGGCTTCTTCGAGTTCTTTAATTCTTTGTATCACCTCATCTTCTCTGGAATATTCTATAATAATATCACTAACAGATTTAAACTGATTTAAAAGGATATTTGCAGCATCATTTCAAGATCTGATCTCATTGCCCTCATTTATTACTACTGGATTGGCTTGTTGGGCTTCTCCATTTAAACACTTGACAAGTTTCCAGAGTTTGGACCCATCTTTTTCAAAACTTAGGCTCTTGGTTTTGTCTTGTCAGCTCTTCCTAGTTGCTTGGATTGTTTCTTTTTTTTTTTTTAGCTTAGCTTCTGCTGCTTTGTAAGTAGTATATTGAAACCTAGTTTCCCATTACATCTTACTGGAAATCAATAAGTCCATTCTCAGATTTAAAAAAAATTTTCTTTAACTGTCAATTATTAAAAAAAACTTTCACAGGCAGACCCTTTTCTTTTAGATAGCATTTCACTGTGGGAGCAAAGATCTCAGTCATCCGCTCACAGAAGAACTGTTTGGTTACCCAAGATGTGCTGTTACTTTTCCACATAAATTTGTGTCTATTAACTTTCTGTTGTTTAAATTTAAAGACTATGATTTTCAGAGTGATAAACCAACAGAGGGTTTTATCTTGAGATCACCACTTTCATTGGCACAAATAGCAAAATCAGTCTTTCATCGGCTTATGTCCTGGCTGTGCCGTTTCCTCCTTATTGATGAACGTTCTCTTAAGCATTTTCTTTCAGAAAAGCCCAGTTTCTTCACAGTTGAAAACTTGTTCTGCTCTTTAACCCTTTGACTTTCAGGAACTTTTCATTAACTTTTTTTTGGTCAGTGGCACCTTTTCCATGTGTAAAAACACTGGATACCAGTTCTGTTCTTGAATTTCTCAAACCATCCTTTACTCTTCACTGATGTCTTTGCTGCTGGTAGTGGATGGTAAGTTCTGTAAAGATCTGTTTACATGTCAGAAGTTCTTCTTCTTATTTCGTTCGCTTGAAATAGATTATCTTTTTCTGCAATGTTGTCTCTAGTATAATCTTCACTGTCTTTTGTAATTCACTCAGCGACCCGTAAAGTTTGACTTGCACCGATGTTTCTCTTGGCCAAAAGTTTTGCCTTGATCTGTTGTATTTGTGACAGTCTTGGAAGACATGATCTGTTGTCAGAAGTGGTTACAATAAAGACAAAAGGCTGAGTAGATTTGATCACAGTGATGATCGATGTGTGCTCCAAGCTAGGCCCCAGAAAATGAAAAAACAGCAGGTAAGTATATCAGTATAAATCAAAGAAACAGCAGGTAAATATATAAGTATAATCAAATAAACTTTGTGATCTTTAAATATTTAGATGTTATACCATATTTTTTTTTCAGTTGTATCTGAAAAACCGTATTACACATTCAAGTTGAGTGTTCAGCCTCAGAATGCTGAAAACTTTCCTGATCATGCAAGTAAGTATTCATTTAACTCTTTTAGGACGGCATTTTTTCTGGGGTTTGGACAGCAATAATTTTAAGTGAAATTTTTTTAGTGCAACACGACAAAGCTAAAACCTTCCTGAAGTAAAAGTATGGGCTGTATCGGGACTTATAATATATCAAATTAAAGATAAATGAGTGCAGAATAAATCTAAACTACTTAAATGTCAGTATAACATCAAAATATTATTAAAATCACACAACATTCAAGGATGTTAGACACATATGAAAATTTTAAAAATAAAAAATTGTGTGCTAACCTTATTTTTTACTGGGTCAACAACACTGCTATCCAATTCTAAGAATACACATGCCTTAGCTGTTTAATTATGTATTAGCTAGTCTTTATTTGAAACAATTAATTAAAAAACTTTGGATATTATAATCATTTTTGTATGACATGTCAATTTTCACAACAACCGAAAATCGGAAAAACAGCTGATCGAAACATTGATCTAATTGAAATATTTTGTGAAATTTTCATATCCTAAACTAAATTATCACTAGTAGATGTGTCCCTTAGATATCAATCATAATATCAAGACTGTTGTCACCATGTGGCAGGGATTCATCAACGATAGAGTAGTATGGACAGTTTTAGACCTTTTCCCTTATCATTTAGTATAGAAAAATCACGTAAAACTTGAATCCCATCTAAATAATTTTTTTTTTAAATCACAAAACAATGCACCGACCACGATGAACATCGCAAATGAAAGTACATCCTGTTGTTAATCCTTATTGTTAAAAGAACTTGTTCAAAAAAGTTAGTTTACCCTACAAACGGAACAAAATTAGAGTGTCTCTATCATGAGCCAGTAAACTGGCTTTACGTCTTTAAGGGAAAGACTTAAGCGCCAGTATACTGGCTAAACGTCCGTAAAGAGTTAAGTAAAGATTTTTTAAAATCTGCCCAAATAAAAACAATATTAACAGTTATCTGTAAATTCAAAGAAGCATGAACAGAGTAGATATTATCAACGCTGTACACACTGGGCTAGTGGATAATGACGGATCTCTGACACTAACACGATTGCATGACATGGGAATAAAGCATGTATTAGCCACCTTCGAGGCCGAGATAGGAGACATTATAACCAACCTCTTATAGGAACTGTTAGTAGACATACCCAGGAATAGCTGCTGCATTGGAGGACTGAGCACGCATGGGAATGCCCAATGTGCAGTGATGTCAATTGTGATAACATAACATTTAAATAATTACCTCTCTTGGAAGCTGTTTATGTATCCTTCTTCCTCATTTTATGTTTAAGCTCTCAGTTATCTTTTCCATTGGGTTTAGCTTCATCATATCTTCTCTTATTACTTGTCTAAGTGTCACGGCGGTTTTCTACCTCTCAAACAACCTTGTAGAGTACCAGCGCCTCTAACATAAAACCAGCAACAGGTTATAATTTACCTCTTAGCAATATGATACACGACAAGGCAGATGTGGTCAAGGCCCTTTGGGAACAAGTGGAAGGCCCTTAGGATTGATTAGTATGGTTAATAAAATGGTTGCAAAAACAATTAAAAAGGCATTCACAGTGTTCTATATCTATGAATCACTACATAGCAATTGTAACCTCAGATTAGTGTTAACCTGCTTGTTTCACAAGTCGCCCTATTACTTCGCAACAATGTATATATTTTAAAAACATTTATTTGTTATCACCAGTGTCTGCCGTGATAGCCTTTACCTACACCGAGGACTACCCAGACTCGGCACCTATTATGCAGTTTGACTCCACTGAGAATATGGATGATGCCCAGCAGGACTCTCTCATGGAGTTCATGAAGTCTCAGGTGAAGTGCATTGTTAGGGAAACCATTTTGTATTTTACCTTGGTGACATCTCATTGTCTTTGGCTATCTTGAACCCTTTCAGACTTTCAAATGACTTTGATCGGTGGTGTTATGTCTGTTGTAACTTTGACTAGACCCAGTGAAACCATAAATAATGAAGTAAAAAGTCATGCAATTGTATATTTTCTGACTGCTGATTGGAAGAGGAATCATGTGGCTTATTTACATAATCTAAAAATTAGGTAAAGTGGTCTTGATTTCTATGCATTGAGTAGAATTATTTATGTAGCTCGTATATTTGCAAAATATGTGGAACATCAGTATTTATTTCCTAATACTTGATGGACGTTCTTTAACTTATACTTTGCAACAATGGTGTTATAAAGTGAATGCTAGTAAGGCACCACCTATTGAAGTGTCTAAAGGTGAATGATTAATGCTTCACCCTTGTGTATACGAAAGTTTTCAAGTCGACTTTCCGGCAACTAAATAGGTTCCCTACCGGAGAATGCTTAACACAATTAACATAGTCACATTCTACACCAACACGAATAACAGTCAGCAACAGATTGTTAAAAGTCATCTCTATAATCGTGCATCAGTCTATTTAGTGACTAACACAGTATGATGATAAGGATGAATTGCTGATTACAAAACTACTGTCCGTATAATGCTCCCCGATACCCATCGGTATACTTCAAAGGGCGACACCTAGCCTCGACTTGAAGTTCACAACATTAACATCTTTCGGCCTACAAGCTCCCTCCTGGGGTCACCTGGGGCCTTTAATAAATGCCTTGGTTTTGTGCCGGCACTTTGGGTCACCAAAAACCTATACATAATAACTGACTAGAACGGTGTTTCCTAAACTTTTTTTTAGTCACACCGCCTTCTTTCAATTAACTTTTTCCCACGGTGTCCTAACCTAAGTGAAAGTATGACTGGTCGTATGTAAGAGATAACAAAAATAAAACTCGTATATCTTCGCATATTACGCTGCGCCTCTGTGAAGAGGTCGCGGCTCTCTGGGGTGCCCCTGCGCACAGTTTGAGAATCACTAGACTAGAGGCTGGCTATGCCCACAGCACTATGCCTCCGGACCCACAGTCACAATCAGTTTCCAGTGCGATCAGGAACACATTCATCGCAGCAGGATCATAAAGAGATGTTGGACTCTTAGTGCCTTGTCTCCATTAAATACTGGAGCATTCTGAAAGACACAAAATTCTAACGAACAATCTAAGCTTTCTCCAGAATAAAATACAAAATAATACACATGATTACAGCTAAAAATCACATGTCCGAACTCTTATCACAGACTGAGGGGCACTGATTGTTTCAACTACCCCAGGACTCTTCCCACCTGTGGTTACACATGGATCTCACATTCTCGCCAACCTTTTGGCTTCTTCACAATCCCCGTGAAGATCGCTGTTAGCCATTAATCTCAAGAAAGCTCTGTCTCACAGTTTACCCATGTTTGCCTTTTGCACTCTCAACTATCATCTTCATCATCATCATCATCTAGTGTCTCTATGACCTGCATAGACGATCACACCCATGGTGCCTGGTACAGTTGAACAGCAAGTGAGTTTAGCACGCAACAGTTGGATACCTGTGTATTACATTTGATCAAATCGTATGTTTTGAATGTCAATTCCTTAGGCAGAAGAGAATCTAGGAATGGCAATGATTTTCACCATAGTCTCTGCAGTGCAGGAGAGGCTGACTGTGATGATGGAACAGGCTGCTAAGGATGAAGAGGATGCAGAAGAAAGAAAAAAGATTGAGGAAGAGGAAGCAGAGATGGTACAAACTTTTTTCTTTTTTTAAATTATTATTTATGAATACATTGTTTATTGTGTATTAACTAGTGAAAATAAGTTCTAATAACTAGGAAGAAAAGTATTCTAAATATTATAACAAGTAATTCACAGTGGCTGCAACAGCCTCCGTGTATGCAGAAGCAGGTGTAACGTAACCATTATTCGTATTCAACCCGTATTCTGCCAAATACTTATTAGGTCCACTATTCGGCCCGGAAGCGAATACAAAGCGAATGTTTGGTACAGCTCTAGTTTATATCCTCCTATTCTTACAAATAGAACTCTACCCTGTCCCGTTAAATATCCTCAATACAATTTCCCATCTGAGACAACTGTTTATAGACAGGATATCTTCATTAACATGAGAAAATATTGATGCAATCCCAAATACAACATATCAGGACAAAACTTTTGGCCAAGAGAAACACTGGAGCAAGCCAAACGTTATAGGTCGTTAAGGAAATTACAAACAACATTGACGTTCTTCTTCTTCTTCTTGTTCACCAGCTGTAAACTCTGGCGGAAAGTTCTGCTTGTTCATCCACTTTAGGACTGCAGTCCTGTTCCAGAACCTGAGTGTTGCGTGTGCATCCATTTTACAGATCTGACTAATTTGAATGCAGACTGCTGGTTCCTTGCCTCTCAGGCAGATGCACTCTGACTTCAAAGGAAGCTCCCAATCAGTCGACTTTTACAACATGCTTTTGGGTAGGCAGTGGGTCTATTCTTGTTTTCCCTTCAATGGGGCCCGGGAACCGAAACTGGGAACATTGTCGTGCAGACTAGACACAACACCGCAGCTATAGATAATCTGTTTCAGAAATCTGTGTTTAGAAACGTTCATAGTTTAGGGCAAATGACTTTATTTCTGTATTTAACACTCACACACACACACACACACACACACACCCCCCCCCCCCCCCCCCCCTTTTCCCTCTCACCTAATGGGGTAATCAGGTTTCTGGGACTATCTAGAAGGATAATAAAAGCGTTTTAAAATCCTTGTTGAGTTCAGAGCCCAAATTGGAGGGGGAAGACCCACTACCTACCAAACATGCATGTCATAAGAGTTGGCTAAATGGTGCCAGCAATGGATAGCTGGTGAAAGAGCGGTGCAAGAGTTGATCAGTGAAAATTGATGCGCAGATGACCTTATAATATGTATAGATGGGTCTTTAGTGATAGGTAAGAAGAATGGTTGGGAATTTTAATTGCAAAAGTGAATGGACACAGAAAACAGACCATGGCACACAAGTTCACTGTATCCACTATGAGAATGGAGGTGGAGGCAGCTTTCCCATGGCTTGAGAGCGGCACAGCCCGACATGTTGTAATAATTACAGACTCACAGATCATGCCTTGGACAATTGAAACTGGCGTCCTCACCTGATTAAACCCGGATCAGGGGCATTTCCTGTCTGGGATATTAAGATGTGTGAGGTAAGGAGTATCCTGATAAATTAAAGCTGCTGCTACTCCTCTGGGTGGTGAGCTATATATTGATAAAGTGGAATTTGTGAAGGCTCTTTGGCAGCCGTTCTCAACCTATGGGTCTTTCAACCCTTTCACAGGGGTCGCCTAAGACCATCCGAAAACACATAATCACTGAAGTTATGAAGTAGCAACGCAAATAATTTTACGGTTGAGGGTCAACACAACACGAGGAACTGTGTGAAAGGGTCAACACAACATGAGGAACTGTATGAAAGGGTCAACACAACATGAGGAACTGTCTGAAAGGGTCAACACAACATGAGGAACTGTATGAAAGGATCAACACAACATGAGGAACTGTGTGAAAGGGTCAACACAACATGAGGAACTGTCTGAAAGGGTCAACACAACATGAGGAACTGTGTGAAAGGGTCAACACAACATGAGGAACTGTGTGAAAGGGTCAACACAACATGAGGAACTGTATGAAAGGGTCAACACAACATGAGGAACTGTGTGAAAGGGTCGCAGTATTAGGAAGGTTGAGAACCCCTGTTCTGTGGGATCAAATGGACAGTGCAGCAGAAGAGACAGGGAGTCCATACATTGAAAGACTAATTCAGCGTGGGGAAAAGGGGGGGGGGGGGTAGATGGGTGTAGAGGTTCCGGAAGATACTCAATATTGAGGGGGAAACATGAAAGGCGGGCTTTTAATCAGGTTGCAGTTGGTACCCTTAGCTTGACAACTCTTCTTTGGCTACTGAAGAGTGAGACGGGGCACATGTGGGAATGTCCCAGGTGTAGTGATGTCAGTTCTTGATTCATTAATTCATTCAAGAGTCGACTGATTGTGGGTTTCCTTTGAAGTCATAGAGTGTATCTGTCTGAGAGGCAAGGAACCAGCAGTTTGCATTCTAATAAGCCAGATCTTTAAATTAGTTGTGCACATAGAACTCTCTAGTTCTGGAACAAGACTACAGTCCAGAAGTGGAAGAACAACTAGAACTTCCTGCAGGAGTTTAGTTCAGCCGGTGAACGCACAGAAGCAGAAGAAGGTAGTAAAAACAGATGTCAAGCCATCTGGGCAAACTGGCTGACATCAAGGAACCGCTGGATCTCCTCAGTTGTAAAGCAAAACTATTTGTATTTTTCATCAGGAACACTAATATATAAAACATGAACTAATTTTGTATTTGCATATGTTAATCACAGAAAAGATTTGAGGGTACACGGGTAACTGTAGAGACATTTATGGCATGGAAATTGAAGTTTGATGCAGAAATGGCAGAACTGAGAAGGCTTAAAGGACTTGGAGATGCTGGCAACAAAAAACCTACAGGTTAGTGTGTTGACTGTGTAATCTGTAAATGCTTACATAGGGATAATGGTTAGTCTATATTCTGTTGTTTTTATTTGTGGCCTCTTATGAGAGAGCAGCACATATCAACTGTCTTGGTACATAGCTATGTCTTTTGTGGAAACCTACTATAAGTATATACATAAAAGCAAATAGGTGGCCAAGAAGAGATGACTGGACAATCACATAGAAAAATCGGTTAAATGAATCAGACTGCCGCTCTTCTCTTTCACATTGATATGGAAGAGATAAATAACATTAGTTCAGGGACTCAATTTGAATTTTCACAGATAACAGAAGAAGAAATGTTATTTAAATTTTTTGGAAGAGATAAATAACATGAGGGCAGGGACTCAATTTGGATTTTTCACAGATAACAGAAGAAGAAGTGTTATTTTCATTTAAGCTGTACTGATGGATTTGTGCAGCTAGATACAGAAGGATGTATATTTATGGTTTATATAAGTTTTAAAACCTCTGACAAGGTAACGTTTCAAAACTATCACTATTTTAAATGAAAAGAAACACGTTTTAGATCAGTGGAAACTGCCAAGATGAACCTCAAAACAAAATTTAGTGCACTAAGTCATACCAGATCTGACATAATCTTTAGTCTAAGATATCATCTGCTGATTATAATTATTTCCATCAATGTATTGTATTTTTACACATTAATTATTCATCAGTTAAGTTTTAAAAAAAATCATGTTTTATTTGAGATATTTGAATTTTATGTATTAACCTATCCAGCCTTTTCCCCCGTCTCCTTCGCTGCAGCCAGTGATTCTGAACGCAGCCTTTTCCCCATCTCCTTCGCTCCAGGCAGTGATTCTGGACATGGAGAAAATAGTTAATATTTTTTATGAAATGTAAAATGTAGTTATAACTTGGAAATGATTGTTTCTTAAAAATAGATGTATAAAAAGTGTCTCAAATTTTTTACAATTGAATACTTTGCTCATAAACAGGCAAGGAACTGTTCTTGTCTGACAACTCCATGGTGGATTCTGATGTCAAGTTCTTACAGTCAGGTTTGTGCCTTTTTTTAGTTTTACACTCTTTATTTTCTTTCTGATAATCTAATGGACCATAATAATCAAGTCCTATATGCAAACTTACAGCCAACAGCAAAATATTTGTAATAATAAACGTCAGTCCAGAGGTCACATTTGATGACAGTCACATGGATGTTTAACCCGGGCTATTCTGGTGTATTAGGATTGAGTGGGCAGATAGGCTGGCTCGAATGGCCCCATTTGGGGGTTGTACTGCAACTGCACACGGTAGAGGTCATCTCAGACCTCTGGGACGGTAACGAGTCAAAGAAGATACTGAAAATCCATACCTGCAGTGGAGTGGGTGTGAGACTCTGAGGGAAGGCAAGACGAGTAGTTAACCATTTGACGACGAGTACCATCAAAATGGAAATTCTTCACTGTCTGTTGAAGAGGGAGGCGGATCTAATGTGAGCTTGGTCCCAAATGTTGTGTGGTCAAATCTTTACCTAGATTTGTAATAAATTACAAAACTTACTTCCATTCCTCTTTTTAAACATTTACAGGTCTGTTTATGGATGGCTTCTTTTGGGTGTCATTCTTAAATTAAGCTGTTTCATTGCAAATATTGGCTCTGTTTGATGGGGGGGGGAATACTTTCACTGTGAAATTTCTAGGTCATTGCTAGAAGTCTGTGGATGCAGGTAGTTCTCTCTTGTACAACTGGAAGAGTTGTGAAGGTTGAAGGTGACTTGATTCCATCCTGTGAGGCAGAACTCACTTAATGCATTCATAGCTGTGCAAGACTAGGGTGCAGATTGTTTGATATCATTATGGGAAATTGCTGTGTAAACATTTTGTATGAGTGAGTTTTATCACAGTAGAGACCACAGCTCATCCTGTGATTATTATCAAAGCTAGTCCTTTTCCAGTATGTACTTAGGAGATATGAGGAGAAATGTATAATGCCTGCCTATTACACATCAGTCTCTGTACATCTTAGTTTAGATTATATTCAGTGAATGAGGTATATTTCATTTGCTTAGAGATTCCTTTAAGGATGAATATAGAATCATGGAATGAAAATTACATGGCATCTACCTTTACAGCAGTTAGAAGGGAAGGGGGAGTTTCAGGTGATACATTCAGGCATGCTGTTTCAGGGACAGATGTTGAAAATATCTTACATATGCTGTGGCATTCCACACTTTGTCCACAAAGCTGTATCTCAGTAGTGGCCTTCAAGCTGCCCTGATTTCACTGCAAACATACTAGTGGCTAGTTACTAGTCAAGTGATTTCCCAGTTTCAAACTCTAGCTGTGGGCGAAGATAATCCATTTATATATGGAACATATATATATATATATATATATAAATTTTTGCGTTTTAATATGTATATATAATTTAAGTATAAATGTATCAGTGCTGATTTCCATTTCAATTGCTGTTTTTGCAGAGGGTGACACATTAGAGGTTGATGAATCTCTGTTTGAGAACTTGGAAGACTTGGACTTAGATGATGATGATGATGACGACCCTGATTATAATGAAGATGATGACTGACACAGATATTTTTTAGTGTATATGTGAAAAAGAATTTGTGATTGTGTGGACTGGCAAGCCAATCAGTTGTTTAATGAATAGGACTGTGATTGTGTGGACTGGCGAGCCAATCAGTTGTTTAATGCATAGGACTGTGATTGTGTGGACTGGCGAGCCAATCAGTTGTTTAATGCATAGGACTGTGATTGTGTGGACTCGCGAGCCAATCAGTTGTTTAATGCATAGGACTGTGATTGTGTGGACTGGCGAGCGAATCAGTTGTTTAATGCATAGGACTGTGATTGTGTGGACTGGCGAGCAAATCAGTTGTTTAATGCATAGGACTGTGATTGTGTGGACTGGCGAGCAAATCAGTTGTTTAATGCATAGGACTGTGATTGTGTGGACTGGTGAGCCTATCAGTTGTTTAATGCATAGGACTGTGATTGTGTGGACTGGCGAGCCAATCAGTTGTGTAATGCATAGGACTGTGATTGTGTGGACTGGCGAGCAAATCAGTTGTTTAATGAATAGGACTGTGATTGTGTGGACTGGCGAGCGAATCAGTTGTTTAATGCATAGGACTGTGATTGTGTGGACTGGTGAGCCAATCAGTTGTTTAATGCAGAGGACTGTGATTGTGTGGACTGGCGAGCCAATCAGTTGTTTAATGCAGAGGACTGTGATTGTGTGGACTGGTGAGCCAATCAGTTGTTTAATGCATAGGACTGTGATTGTGTGGACTGGTAAGCCAATCAGTTGTTTAATGCAGAGGACTGTGATTGTGTGGACTGGCGAGCCAATCAGTTGTTTAATGCACAGGACTGTGATTGTGTGGACTGGTAAGCCAATCAGTTGTTTAATGCACAGGACTGTGATTGTGTGGACTGGCGAGCAAATCAGTTGTTTAATGCACAGGACTGTGATTGTGTGGACTGGCGAGCCAATCAGTTGTTTAATGCACAGGACTGTGATTGTTTGGACTGGTAAGCCAATCAGTTGTTTAATGCACAGGACTGTGATTGTGTGGACTGGCAAGCCAATCAGTTGTTTAATGCATAGGACTGTGATTGTGTGGACTGGCAAGCCAATCAGTTGTTTAATGCAGAGGACTGTGATTGTGTGGACTGGCGAGCCAATCAGTTGTTTAATGCACAGGACTGTGATTGTTTGGACTGGTAAGCCAATCAGTTGTTTAATGCACAGGACTGTGGTTGTGTGGACTGGCAAGCCAATCAGTTGTTTAATGCATAGGACTGTGATTGTGTGGACTGGCGAGCAAATCAGTTGTTTAATGCATAGGACTGTGATTGTGTGGACTGGCAAGCGAATCAGTTGTTAAATGCATAGGACTGTGATTAATCCTGAGACTAATTGTATGTGAATGAGCATGGACTTGTGTAACCTGATGTGAGATTGTTGAATGTCTTTGTAATGTTGCTCTTACAAAATCACTGGACAACCAAATTTGATAAAAAGTCAAGGCATCAAGATCAAAGTAGCCATTTCTGATAGAAGGTGCTGAGTATGAATACAACAGCTAAGCTGGCTACAGTTTCTGAGAAATCTGAAGAATAAAATATTTATGTATCATAGAGTGATATGCCTAATATCATACAGACATCTCACTCATACAGGTACTTTATATGTCCCTACTGCATATCAACAGAGTTACCACCTTCAGGTCATGAGAGAGATTATTAAAGCAGTGGTGTGTTGAATGCAGGGCAACAACTGGTTCAGGTTGTCATATGGTTCTTTCATGTAGACTGCATGTTTGACTGGAGTAGATGGATTTCAGTTTCCATTATGCAAAAGCAACGCCTTAACTCTTTCAGGACATTTTTTCTTCTGGGGTTTGGACAGTATTAATTCTGAGCGAAACTGCAACATGACAAAGCTAAAACCTTCCTGAAGAAAATGTATTGGCTGTATAGAGACATAACAATATATCAAATTAAAGAGAAATTAGTACAGAATAAATCTAAACTATTAAAGTGCCAGTATGACATCAAAATATAATTAAAATCACACAACATTTAAGGATGTTGGACAGATTATTTACACAAAATATGTTGTGCCTACCTTACTTTTTACTTGTTAACAATGCCTCTATCCAATTCTAAGAATTAAAATGTCTTCTCTGTTCAATTGTGTTTTAGTCTTTATTTGAAAAAATTATTTAAATATGTATGACATGTCAGATTTCAAAACAACCGAAATCGGGAAAACAGCTGATCAAAACAGATGATTTGATTCAAATATTTTGTTCAGTCTTCATCCTTACCTAATTATCAGCAGTCAGTTTGGCACATGGCATTATCAGTCATAATATCAAGACTGTTGTCACTATCTGGCTGAGATTCATCAATGACAGAGCAGTATGAACAGTTTTAGACCTTTTCCCTTATCATTTGGTATGTAAAAAAAATCAAGTACAAATTGTATCACATCTAAATATTTTTAAACAAATCAGAAACTATTCCAATGACCATGCCAGACTTCAGAAACAAAAAGTCTTCATTTCGCTAATTCTGGTTTTCAAAACATGGTCATACAAATTCATTTTCCAAGCAAACAAAACAATATTAGAGTGTCTCTGTAAAAAGCCATTTAAATGGCCTTGCGTCTGCAGGTGACAGATTTTGACGCTATTTAAATGGTGTTCCATCCTCAAAGAGTTAAGACTCAATTTTGAGGAGTCTGTGAATAGTTGCCATTATTAAGTTTTTTTTAAAATAGAACAGTAGTCTTCAGAGCAGTGTACAAAGTAATTTTCCTTTCTGAAGTAATGTGCAAACTGACTAGGATGAGTGCAAAAATGTTGCTTTGGCATTTTCCTTGATGAGATTCAATTGTCGGAGTCTCGATCCAAGTAACCTGTCTTTAACTGTGGACAGCTGCAGATCGCCAACACTATCAACTATCGTTGACTTCTTCTTGGTTGAGAATGTGTGGCACAGTTGAATGGATCACCAACACTATCAACTATCGTTGACTTCTTCTTGGTTGAGAATGTGTGGCACAGTTGAATGGATCACTGACAGATGATGAATCCTAGTGTGGGTTGTGGGGCACTATTATAGGGAAAACAAGAATAGACCCACTGCCTACCCAAACCATGTCGTAAGAGTCAACTAATCGGGTGCTTCCTTCAAAGTCGGAGTGCATCTGACTGAGAGCAAGGAAGGAACTAGCCTGTTACAATCATATCCATCATTTCTTGCAGTTGTGTTTCATTTTCAGCCATCAAAACTTTATTATCAGCAGGTTGCTAACAATATGTCCACCAACCAATATTTCTGGTATACCATGTATGGATCTAATTATTGTTTCACTGTACAAATTGAATAAATCTGGTGGTAGCACACATCCCTGTCTAACGCCTTGTTTAGTGTTTTGAAAAGTTCCACTTTGGTTGTCAGTTCAGTGTTTTGAAAAGTTCTATGTCGGTTGTCAATCCTTATGGCTATTTCTTGTTGCCAATATATGT